ATTTAAATTTCTTATTATTTATTTAAGTATAATAAAAATAAATTTTTCTAACGACTCCCAAACGGATTTTGATAATTTATCGACTCTCAAATAAATCGATTGACCTCTTTGGGGCCGCTAACGACCAGGTTGGGAACCCTGTTTTAAATTATTTAAGTTTAAGGTTTTTTTTTTAATTCTATAAATTAAAAATTTATTGCAGTAAAAACTTGTTTACGAAAAGAATGCAATTACTTATTTTAAACATGATTGATTTTAAAATTTTCATTAATTTAATAAATTTAAAATTGTTTATATAATGAATAATCTGACTTTTCTCATTAATTTTTACAACTCGCTAATATATTCGATCTATAAAATAATATATATAAATTTTTATATTGAAATAATAATTAAAATTGATTATTATAAAATACAGTAGAGTGTCGATTATCCAAAATAATCGGGACTCTACTGGACAACCGTTTCGGACAACCGATCACACTCGGTAGAGAAGGAATAAAAAATATATATTAAAAAAAAGGATTAAGGCGTAGAAATTTAATACATACGATTGATTATAAATGAGTATAATCAACAAATTTATTAAAAGGAAGCACCACTTTTTCCCTCGTAATCTACACAGTACTGATGAATAGTAAAATTAATAAAATAACGAGATAGCTCAATAGCGGGACTATAGAAAATCAACAATCGTTATTACGTAAAAACCTTGTAATTTCTAGAATTAGTACTCTCTGAAATCGATTTCGGTTAATCGATTTTTCGGATAATTCATGTTAGGATAATCGACGCTCTGCTGAATACATTTTTAAATGAGAAAAATTATTGATTTGTTCGTATTTTAACATTAATTTACTACTAATTTCTTTGTGGATGCTATAATTGTGTTTTAAAATAACGTGTTTTAAGAAATATACTTAAATAGTTAATTTTCTTTGTTTTATAAAATTTCACAATTATCTACTACTCTTTATTAAGATATTAATAAAATTTTTAATGAAGTTATTTCGTTATATTACAGGAAGTTATGGCGTAAGTGGAATAGAGGTATTCATTAAACTTGCTCAGGATGCTGGAATCTGCATTGCAACAACGGATTCTGTTCTCAGTAATGCCGAAGACAAAGCTTTTGATGCGATTATACGGAATTTGCAAAAATATCCAAATGCTCACGTTGTGATATGCTTTTGTGAAGGGATGACTGTCAAAGGTATTTTGCGTGCAGCCAAACGGCTAAATGCAAGTGGACAATTTCTATTTATTGGAAGGTGAATAAATCATTCATTTCTTTATAAATACATTAAATTTATGTTATTATCCTTTCTTCAACTA